GCGCCGTGCCGTTACAAAGGGCTCAAATTCAGCCAGAATGTTAAAAATGTGAACAATTCTCCCCCTGCCCGCGTGTGGGCTCCTCTCTGCTTCAGGAAAATGGGCTGGCTGCTGGCTGCGCTCCCTTGTTTGCAAAGTTCAGCCTCAAAGAGGATGTGCATGGCCATTTTGAAAAAGTTTAAGCAAAGGAGGACTTCTGGAAGGGGAGGTGGGGAGCCAAATGATTCTGTTACAGCACAGCAGGGCTGCAATCTGCTCTGGGCAGGCTCATCTATGTGGCGAGGCTGGATGTGGCTCTGGGCAGCCTGGTCTAGTGGTTGGCGACCCTGCAGGTAGCAGGGATATTGAAACGAGATAATCACTATGGTCCTTTTCAACCCAGACCATTCTGTGATTCTGTGATTCTATGATTCTACTGCTGGTGAGCATCAGGGAGAAGCCAGGAGTGACCGAGTGCTACTCTCAGCTTCAGACTTTGGAAGGAGGCTGGTTGTATGAGCAGAACCAAGCACTGCGCTGCTATGTGAGCCTGCACACCGCAAGAGGGATTTGGTATGCACAGGGGCAAGTCCTGCTGTGGCATTTGGGTAGCCTTCATATACACAATCACAAAACCTTTCCTCGGCAGGACCTCCTGTCCATCAGCAAGCAGGCTGGATGTTGCTCTCAGTGGGTGTTCGTTCAGCACTCCTTATTGTCCGTTACATGGCTCCGAGCATTATTCACTGTACAGCATCCAAACCTGGCACTGAATGCAGATGTAATAATCTCCCTGTGGGTTTTTCTGTAGTGCTAATCACTGCTGCACCCAAGCATTTTACAAACATTCCTAACAATGTCCCAGCAACATTCTTGCAAGCTTTTGTTCCACACCCTCTTGCCAGCAGTACCGTGCCACTACCAGGCCCACACTTCCCCTGGATTTGGACTCTTGTTCCCAAATCAGCTCTACTGCCAGGCAGCATGCCATTGCACAATATAACACAATATAAACATGCCTCATGTCTCCAGCCATCATTCATTTTCTCATCTATTCTTCTCCTCATCCTATCTCTTGCCTTGACCCTTGCTGAGAGCCTCCACCCTGCCAATGGTGATACTGGGGTGCTTTTATTCACCATTACTTTCTGATTTCCCTGTGTGGAACAGAGGATTGAAAAAGCTACAACCAACATTTGCAAAAATGTTCACTGATTTTTGATTATCAGTATGAAACACTTCATGATACCAATTATTTCACAGAGGTGTTACATTGCAGAGGGCACATACACAATCCCAAATTTAAGCATCAGCTGCCATAAGAAGTGTCTCACCCAGCAGAGCTCTAGAAGATGAGAAAAAATACTGTTATTGCTGTTGAGGCTGCGGTTGTCACTGCCACTTCAAATTCTCACCTTAGGAGCTTGGCAGCCCTGCATCCCAAGCTCATAATGAGTGTGATCTTTATAGGGACAATTCAAGAAAGGAGGAAGACCTTGTGAAAATCCTTGCTTACTGAATGCTAAACAAAAATACCCAAATCACTAAGGTAGCCTTCTCTGACTTGAGTGAAAGTCACAATGCCTGGTATTGCTTTGGCCTCTCCGCATTCCATCTTAATAATCTTATGTTCTTCTTCTCATATTGGTAACTTGTTAGGCCATCTGGTGACCCTGAGTTTATTTAACCACAAGGCCAATTCTAAAAAGGTTTTCATGTCATCACTCTCATACCCATACTGACGTTTGGTAACACCATGCTGTACTCTGACTCAGAGCAGTCAGTGCAAATGGAAGACAGACGAGTAACACATCAGTGGTCCTGCCTTGGAGCAGGCAGATGGACCATGCAGCCTTCCAGAGTCTCTTTGGCTGCATCCTTCCACTATTTTCTACTTCTGGGGGACTCAGGAGCGAGAGGAGGTGGCTGTGGTGCAACCTTCCAACCTTCTTGTAGAAGAAAGAAGGTGCTGGAAATTTCCGTGGAGGACTAGTGGTTGGAAGTGATGCAGATCATGACATGCAAGGAGAAGATACAGGAGACAATTCTCTCTATCAGGAGAGGGAAAAGAAAAAATAATAATAAAAAAAAAGATTAGGAAGGACTAATTGCTCTCTCTAGCTTTTTTTTTTTTTTTTTTTTTTTTTTTTTATTAGGGAAAAAGAGGAGTGAGAGTGAGAATGGGAGTTTATAGCAAAGTCAGAGCCAAGATTTCCTAACAGATGGACAGTGAAATGGTTACAAAATTTACAAGAAGAGAAATTGTGTCTAGACAAAGAACAAAGCTCCTCCCTGAGCATGGTTCAGCACCAACACAGGCACCCAGAGATCTGGGCAGTCTCCCCTTGGAGATGCTCAGGAACAACTGTGGGCAGCTGATCTACCTCTGGGGCCAACCTTACCTCTACAGAGAGCCTGGTGTGGAGACCACTAGACACCCCTTCTGATCTTTATCCTATTAACCTGTGGCTGTAAAACTATGCAGAGCCCTGTTTCCCTTTCAGGCAGCACAGACGTGCAACACATAGCGATCTCCTTGACAAGAAGAATCAAAAACCCCTGTGGCTTGTTCTAGGCCTTGGTAAAGACTTCCTGTGACACAAACTCCAACACGACCACACAAGATGGCCCCTCCTGGCTTGCTGTCTAAAACTCATGCAAACAGCACTGGTGTTTGTTGGTCGCAGAAATGATGAGTCTGTGACACAACTCAATGCTCAGCCTCACCAGCCTCCCTGCAGTGGCTGTCCCATAACACGAGCTACCCAGCACCTAATTTTTTGGAACTCTTGTCAGATCAAGGTCATCTTTCAGCAGAAAAAGCCTCCTATGTTAGGGATTTTGTTTACTCTCCCTACCCTCCGCCCCTACACCCACCCCTCCCAAGTCATTCCTGAGAGAGGGACGGGAGAAACTCCTTAGTTCTGCATCATTAAGGCTTCCATGTGTCCTCTACTATAAGGCTTATTCTCCTTTCCAGGTGCTCTGTGGACACCTATTTATTAAAGAACAATTGCGCAGGCTTCAGGGCAGCTGGAGCTAAATTATCCCTTGAACTGCCAGTTGTATCTCTGAAAACGTCATCTAAACAGAATTTGATTTGAGAGCTGAAAGAGAACCAATCCAACATTCGTGCCTCCGCACCCCAATCTCCGCTGCTTCTCATGGAAATGCACATTGTAGCTCTGCTGCTGAGAAGATAGCATCTCCTACTGCATTGCTTGTGTAAGGGATAACAAAGTATTTGGGTATTTCTATTACAAAGGAACTGTAACCAAATGTCTGCCACGGAGACAAAGAAATAGCAGCATCCATGTATGTACCTGTAGTGACCCAAGTGAACATACCAGTGTCATATACATGTTGGGCTGTCAAAGCCAAACTCTTCTGATTTAGAAAAGCCACCAAGGTGAGGCACTGCTTTGAGGCAATGCATCCTCATCACCCCGGTGCTTCCACACGTCCTGCTGTAGGGACGTGGCATTATCTCACTGGCAGTGACTGCTAACAAATTCTTCTCACAATCTATGGAGGTACACACACACACCTGTTCCCTGCTGTTACAGTACTGCTCCATTTAAATGGGTAACGCACCACCTCCTGCACTTTGTTTCCTTCCGTGAACAAAAAAAAAAAAAAAAAAAAGACAAATGAGAGTGAGTGAGGGGAAAACGGGAAGAGGAGATGCTTTAAGAGTATAAAAGCTGAGAAACTGCTTCCAAAAAACCTTCCCTGATTGCTCAGCCATACTGTTTGCAAAATCCCAGCATCTAAAACAAAAGGAAGCAGTGGTTAGGCGTGCAAATGGAAAAAGAAAAAATAATAATAACAACATGTACCTCGAGCACAAAAATATACCTTCCTCCAAAACCAGAGACATCGTGCAAAACCAATTTTGCAGATGAGGGAGTGGCAAAACGCTGCACGGCTGCAAAATGCAACGGTGCCCGGAGGGGCCAGCTCCATCCCACCCTCCGCCGGCGCCCGGCCGAGCCGAGCCGCACGGAGCCGCTGAGACAAGGCCGCCCCCTACGGGAGCGCGGGCGGAGGAGCAGCTCCCCCCTGCCTGCAGGGGACCCGCATTTTGAGGCGAGGCGAGGCGAGGGCTCCGGCACTGGAAAATGGAGCGTTTCCCGCGGCCATACCCGAACTACAGCTCCCAGAAGGCAACGGCAGTCCCGCTGCTTTGTGCTGGTCTGCACTGACCGTCCGTGCGCGTGAGATGTGAGACGAGACGCGGGGGATCGTAGGGGCAAGTCTTCACAGAGGTACTTGCAGCTAGGACGCAAGCTATTGACTGCTGCCGGTATTTGTTCCGTATTTACTGGTGACCCCACCAGAACCAACCCTGTCTCAACACCATTCTCCTTCCCACCATCTTTTCTCTCATGTCACAGCCTTTGTCTTTCCTCGATGAATGCGCTCCTTTTCCTGTATTATTTAGTAAAGAGTTAGCAGTGAAATGCCAGTGTTGATTTTTAAGTGTTGTCTTTCAATTTGGAAGTCCGTACTGGGGCTTGGTCAAGGGGGCTTAGGGCTCTCTGAACAAGCTGACTTACCTTACTCATCGTGAAAGGTGTGGCAGCACAGTCAGGCAAGGGCTGAACAGGAGCTCTGCAGGACCTCAGTGTGCCCAACCACACAAAGATAGCTTTTTCTCTTCCAAAATCTGCAGTTTCAGTTTACTGTCACAGGATGTCTAGGGGGCATCTGGCCTGTGACCTGCCCTGGGTTCTGTTAGATCAGTGGAAGGCATGATTAAAATCCCTTGCACAGTTTCTTCATGCAGAAAACTCTCCCATCTGCCCTTCCCTCAATATTCCCCAGCTGGATACGGGACAGACAAATCTCGCTGTGGGACAGCTGTGAAAGCAGGTTGGGGGTTATCTGGGCCTTTCTCTTGCCAACTTCCTCTGCTTGCTTTGGTTGTCCTTCTGCACGATCCTCTTCTTTGATAACAGAATGTCCCCATTCCTCAAATACAGATAAGTGCAGGGAAACATCAGACCAAGTCAAGGATCTCAGGTGTGAAATACATTTTAATTAAGTTTAGGGTTCTGTAGTTTGTTGCTCTGTTGAGCATTGACTGTCTAGAAGGTGAAGCAGACATTATGGGCAGAAGAGAGAGTGAAGGAGTGCAAGAGGGATGGAAACAGAGAAGAAGGTTAAGATAAGCAAATGAGAGCATGTGTTTTTTTACGACTGTGTTTTAATATATTGCCCCACAGTACTATGTGCTGACCCACAAGATCCCACAGAGCTGCTTAACCTGGAGGCTGACAGCACACGTACACACGGCCAGTGACAAGCAATTGTTCACTCAACACTAAGCTGCCGACAAGCACAGCTCAGCGTGGAACAGCGCTCAGAACAGTAGGAAGGAACGCTTAGGTCCCACCACGGCTCAGCGCAAATGCACCTGGGGCACAACAATGCTGTAGGCCAGTACACATACACCTACACACAGCACAACGAGAGCGAGCCACTGGTGACACTCGTTCAAACACAGCTACAAGTGCGACACTTGTCCAAACACACCAGCCGACGCACATATGTTCACTGCACATGCTTCGGCGTACAACGTAAACACGCTGGGCAGCATGCTCCCATAGTCTAACATGTGAACAGAGTGGTTCAGATGCGCACAAGAACAAAAGACACAAAATGCCTAGATTCAGAAATGCTTATGATCCCAAAGCAAGGGACGGGGTGCGGACCACTTTTTCATCCTTCATCTGGGTATATCTAGCCAGGGATACCTGAACTCGTGGGGCTTTGAGGTGAGAGAAAACCAGGTGGTAGAGAAGGGAGAAAGAGCAAAAAAGGGAGTAGTGAAGAGAAGGAGGGTTCAGAGTCTGTGATGTGGGAAAAAGCTGAAGGGTGTCTATGCCTGGGGGACAACGTTCAAAGAACACTTGGGTTGCGAAAGTTGTGTCCAGCAAAGCGTGCTTCATCGCCAAGCTCTTCCTCAATCCTGCAGGAGAGAGAGACAGCAAAACTCAGGAAAGGCACCAGAGTACCTGAGGGATAACATATGGCCAGGAAGCTGAAAGGGGGCAGAGGGGCTAGCTGCTGGAGGGTGCTGCTATCCCACCATGCCAAGGAGGAGGGATCCAGACATCTCTACTTTCACCTCTGCAGTTTGCCTTCACATTTCTCCCAACAAACTCCTTCTGCCCTTTGGGTTTCTAGCTTCTCTATTTTTTAGTTACTCTCCATTCTCACTTGTTTCCTACCCTAAGAGCCCCTTACCTCATGAGCTGGTTGTACTTAGCCAAGCGTTCAGACCTGCAGGGGGCACCCGTCTTTATCTGTAAAGGATTTCCCAAAACAAACACTGTAAGACGCCATTATGATTCGCACCAGTTTCCCCAGAGGGAGAAGCAAGACGGATGCTGCTTCTCACCTCTGCATTTTTCTGCATGCCTGTGCACACCCTAGGTTTCACATACCTGCCCAGTGCACAGTCCTACGACCAGATCAGCAATGAAGGTGTCTTCGGTCTCCCCAGATCGGTGACTCACCATCACACCCCAGCCATTCTCCTGGGCCAACTTACAGCTGCAGGAGCAAGATATGTATTCAGCAGCTGCCACTCTAATACCCACCCCCTGCACAGGGTGAGATCCAGACCCTCTCCTCCCCTCCTCTGCATTCCACACTCTCACAGAGACACAAGTCTTAATCTTATTGTGGTACATCACCAACTATTTCAAATAACAGTGGCAGCAGGGTGGACTCACGCTTGGATGGCCTCTGTGACAGATCCAATCTGGTTGACTTTGAGCAGGAGGCAGTTGCAGGCCTTCTCTTCAACAGCTCGCTCAATGCGCTTGGGGTTTGTCACTGTCAGGTCATCTCCCACTATCTGAATGCCAACATTGGCCGTGAACTTGGACCAGGCCTCCCAGTCATCTTGGTCAAAGGGATCCTCAATGGAAACCACTGAATGGACAACAGAAGAGACAAGTCAAAGCTACCTTCCTCCCAGTCCCCCCAAAATGGTAGAGATGCACCTGTGATGTCTGCAACACTGGTGATGAGTCCCCATTGCCAAGCACAGTGGCTCACCTGGATAATCACGTACAAAGCTTTGATAGAGGTCACCCAGCTCATCTGCCGAAATGTAGCGGCTTGGGTCATCTGGGGACTTGAAGTCAAGGTCATATTTGCCATCTCGGTAGAACTCAGAGGCTGCCACATCCATACCGATGACAATCTTGTCTGTGTAGCCAGCCTTGTCAATAGCTTCCTTGAGGAGCTCCAGAGCTGGAAGGAAGAGAGTTGAAGTCAGCCTGTGCCAGAGAGCTCTGACTTCCAGCAGAAACTTTCCCTAGAAAGACCCTGTGAACAGGAGCCACTGCGAGTCTGATGGCTCAATGAGGGAGAGAGAATGAAGCCTGGAGCAGAACAGAAACATGCTGAGGGGCTGTGGAGGCCACATCTAAAAGGATAAAAGTATTGGGTGTGAAAAGGCCTTGGTCACAGCATTGCAGGCAGGGATATCCCGTTAACGTGTAACTCTCACCTTCACTGTTTTCCAGGATGTTAGGGGCAAATCCTCCCTCATCGCCCACATTAGTAGCATCCTTGCCATACTTCTCCTTGATGACGCTCTTGAGATTGTGATAGACTTCAGCCCCAATGCGCATGGCATCGCGGAAGCTTTCAGCTCCCACAGGTAGGATCATGAACTCCTGCATTGCCAATTTGTTGCCTGCGTGGGAACCTCCATTGATCACATTGAAAGCCTGGAAGAGTTTGTAAGTGAATTAGAGCTGAAGGAACCCATTTTGACAAGGCTCTCAGGTGGGTCACCATGTCTATTCATGATATACCACATCCCATAGAGTAACATAACACATCAGCTGCAGCATGTCAGACCAAAGCCACGTACAGTCTGGGATCCTCCTTCCAATAGTGGCAAACAACTGGAGAGGATTTTCCCACCTGTTTCCCTCTCAGAGTTCTCCCAAACTGTATGTATTTATCTGTCCATTCAGCAATGCTACATCAACCTCTCTTCTAGGAACTTTTTCCTCGACCCCAAGAAAATTTTAGCACCCACAGTATGCTTTGTGAGGGAGTTTCACAGTGTAACTAGCCTTGTTTTGAACTGTGCCTCAGAGGGTTCATGTGATGCTCTCTGGTTCTTGCATTAAGTGTGAGTAGTGGTTGATCCTCTGTCAACCCCCACCACAACATCTGCTGTATCCTTCTCAGCTCCTATTTTCCACAAGGAAAACTCCTAGTTTACACAGCCCTTCCTTTTACAAAAGCTGGCCCACAATTTGATCTGTCTCTTATCCTTTCCTGAGCCTTTTTCAGTTCCCCTCTACCCCTGTGCAGGTGGGGAGGGCAGAGCCTTACACACCATTCCAGGAATAGGCATTCTGTTTGTGAGTCCTCCCCTGAGAAAGCTTGGGCATTGGTTTGCTTCCTGCAGTGCATTCAGCTGGTGTTTTGGTCCTATATCCGTTACTACTTTACCTCCTCTATCAAACACACTCTTTGAGGTATCTTTGGAAGTTTCTGAATTAGTATGTCAAGGATGGAGGATTCTTACTGGCACAGGAAGGATGAGATCTGAGTTGCCTGCCAGGTCAGCAATGTGCCGGTACAGGGGGACATCCTTCTCTGCAGCTCCTGCCTTGCACACAGCCAGTGAAACTCCCAGGATGGCATTGGCACCGAACTTGGCTGTGGGCAAAACCAAGAACTCATTGAGGTTCTCAGGTACTGCCTTTCTGCCCAGCAAGTGCCCTTGCCAGACCAGGCTACAACCCTCCCTCCACCCACCGTGATCTTTACTTCCCAGACCGAAATAAATAGCAAATTACATTTGTTCTCTGTGCCGTCCATCTCAAGCATCAGATTGTCTATCTTCTCTTGATCTACAACAGAGAGGCCCTGGAAGAAAGAAAGAGTTCCTGAGAAGGGGATGTTGAGAAGAGTTGTTGGCTCTGGCACATGAGAAAGGAGGTGTTGATGGAGAAGCTGGGGGTACATGGACCTTTTCAGCTTGTGGGGGAATATATACACATAAAGCTCTGGAAATTAGTATATAGTATATACTAATAGTATATAGCCTTGGTATATAGTCAGGTAAGGTAATCATGATGATGTTATTGCAGTGCAGCTTAGATGCACCCACATTGGATAAGGGATCAGCAGCAGCCCAGGCCGGTCACACAGAGTTCAGCACACAGCACTCATTTGAGGATTCATCCAGCTTTTTGGCAGCTTCCAGGGAGCTTTGTCATGCTATGGCTACATACAAGCTAGGCATAACAGTGCATGCTCAACCCCAAGAAAGCACACGTGAACTAGATGGAGCTGTTCCTGGGAATGAGCGAGGGAGCAGTGTTAAGGCCAGTGTGGGGAGCCTTCTACCAGTACAGAAAGTTCTCAGGGCTGAGAAGAGCTGGGCTCTCAGTCAGACTCCTCAAAAGCTGCGTGGCTTTCAGTGCATGACATCAACTCAACTCCCTTCAGAGCAGGTTCCATAAAGGACTTACAGATGTGACACCACAGATCTGGAAGTCCACAGACTGTGCTGGGGAGGGCTGCCAGACCTTGCGTGGGTACAGTCATTGCTCACCACACCATGAATGCTGGAGGAGAGGGGAGGATGAATGGGTGTGAGGATGCAGACGTGTGGACGAGATTAAGTGAGGAGCACATTTGAAAAAGGTAGAGAGCTCTATAGAAAGAAACGAGGGGATTGGCTAGGTGGTACAGATGCAGCAGTGGGCCAGGTAGGGTTAACTCCTTTCCACTCAGAGAAAAGATCTCTGTGGTTGCATACAGCCATGGAGGCAGGAAGAGTGTGCCTGGGTTCACAGAGAGCAGCACTACATCTGTCAACCCAGTGAGATGAAGAAAGGCAGAAACAGAGATCAGGTGGAAAGAGACGGAACAGAGTAAGCGTTCAATAAGGAAGAACAAAGAGAAATCCTTACAGAGCCCACGATAGCAGGGGCGACAGTGCTGTTGATATGATCCACGGCCTGCAGGACCCCTAAAGAAGGGAATAGACAGAGAAAGAAGGAGAGAGACAAAGGTTGAGGCAAAGAAGAGAATGAAGAGAGGGAGGGTAGAAGACCAATAGAAAGGCTGAGAGGGGGAAACAGGGAGGGAAGGTCGAGGCCTGACATTTCACTTGACACTGGATCAGTGCCTGGAAGGTTCCATGGAGGGCATGTCTCGTTAGTGGATGAGTGGTACCCTCTGGTGAAGCCCCATGTGTGGCAGCCCCAGGTACAGGGTGTGGAGCAGACACCTCCCCACCTTTTCCAAGGAAACGTGACTTGTCATTGTCTCGTAGCTCCAGTGCTTCATAGATCCCAGTGGATGCTCCGCTGGGAACCGCTGCTCGAAACATGCCTGAGGGACAGCAAAACGTGTGTATGAGTAGAGCAGAGGATTAAAAGGAAGGAAAGACCTCATGCATCTGTCTTTGTTCTACTTTAAGGAAAGGATAGAGCCACCCGCCTCTGCCAACAGATAGCCCCACTGGCTGGTTGCTCATGGTAGTCTTCTCAGAGGTGAACACCTCTCAGAGGAGGAATAGCAGAGAGTCTGACAGAAAGAAGTCCACCCAGTGTTTTCAGACTGGAAAACCTGGATCTCAGCCATGCGGAGGTCTGTGCCAGTCCCAGAACTATAAATGACATGCAGAAATTCCTTGTCCTGGTACTTCTGCCTGCATCCTTCCGACAGGCCTACTCACAGCTGTCGGAGGCTTCCTCCCTTTTGTCCAGGGCTGGATTTTTACCTCAGTGAAGGAGCAGGAGGTTGGAGGCCTACTCTGGTCACTCATATTACGCATATATCTCATCCCACCTAGCTTTCAGCCCAATACAGCTGCAGTTCTTCCAGATGAAATGCATAATTGCACACACATGATTGCACACGTCTCAGAAACAAATCTTCCCTCAACCTCAAGAGCATGGCTGTGGAAGCATTTCCAAATGTGCCCCAGGAGTGAAAGTACAGCTGCAGAGAGCATTGCGTGGATAGGACAAAAAGATAAATATGTCTATTTTAATGAAACTAGCCGTCTCTGCTACAGTCAGACATGGGACAAGCCACACACACAGCTTTCAGCATTCACTATGCATGTCATGCAGGACCACAGGTAGACGCCAGGAGATCTATCTCCCTGCCCGATGTCTCTGGTTGCTCACTGGAGAGCCTTCAGGGGAGATACTCCCTGCTCTCAGCTGCTGTGCAGATCCAGCCCCTTCAGCAAGACAGGATTTCCCCTTCATCTCTCATCTTCACCCGATACCTTTGTGTGTGTACAGGTCCACCTCCACAGTGGGGTTCCCACGAGAATCCAGGATCTCTCGGGCATGGATCCTCTCGACTGCCATGGTGACTCTGTGTAGAGGAGAGGAAAGGACATGCTAGTTCTGAGCTGTCCTGCAAGATCTCAGACCGCCCTTGGGACCTAGGGCTCACCCTTCTAAGGTCTAGGCAGAGGAAAGGATGCTCAACAAAGATCTACATTAGGAGCTGAAGTTCAAACTCCAAGGAAATTTAGGCTTGAGGAAATTTAGACTAGAGGGGAGATATGAAAAATGTGATCTGAAGCCCAGAAAGTGAGAAGCTGTCCACATTCTCTTTAGGAACAGATGCTGAATCCCATCCCTTCACTACATATAACAAAGTAGGAGTTTTCCTTCTTGTCCCGTGTGGCAGCCACGTGCCCCCTTTCCAGCACCTCTGACTTACAGGGGGCCACAGCACCAGGGGTTCTGGAGAGGGCACAGCCCTGGCACCAGGGTTCCCAGAAACTTTCATCTCCTCACAGGGATGAGAGATCCCTGCTGGGCCCTGGGCAGCGCCTGCCTTGGCCTTGCCTCACTCCTCTGCAGCCGGCACCCTGCAGGGCATGGCTGCAGTCCACACCAGGGACTGGGCCAGCCAAGCTGAGACTGAGCAGCCAGAGGCTATGGCACCTCATGAAGGAGAAGAACAGCTCTGAGCACAAGGGGAGGGAAATTGGGCAGGCTAAGATGCTGAGGCTGACCCCAGTTCATGGCCCCCACACACCAGAGGAATGTAGGCACAGAAGACTTTGAGGCCTCTCTGGCAGGGGTGTGTGAGGAGATCTGGCATTTTGGATGCACTCAGTGAAACCTGGGGTGGGAAACAGGCTTGAGGAGAGCAGTTTGAGAGAGGCATTTTTTGCTGAAATTCATTCCCGAGGTTCTCCACAAGAGGTCTGACCCCTTCCTGATCTCCGTAGCTGGCCTTGCAAGTCTCCCTGCCTCCACCAGCAGGCAGTGGGGCAGTGCAGTGTAGGGAGTAGCCTTGCTGGGAGTGGGCAGCATCTGCTGTTACTGCCACCCCTGCTTCGCTGGGCTTTCTGTCCCTGGCTCCCCAGCTTATTCATTCAAAGCAGAGCAGAGCTGGAACCACACAAGTGTGGAGTCCAGGCCCAGTGGCAAGCATGGTGCAGTTGGTGTTTTTTCTGGGCAGAATCATGCCTTGGGCTGCAGGCAAGGATGCAGCCGATGTTGTCTCTCAGCACAGGTGTGTTTGTTGGGGGTGCTGCAAATAGGGCATCACAGCAAAGAGCAGGGCTAAGAAACAGGCTGGGGAAGCCAGTCAGTTCTCAGTCCCATGGCCTCTGGTACATGGAAATCACAGGGTTTGGGGAAATCACACTGCTCTGGAGTTTCAGCAAAAGCTTGCGATGCTGGGAAGGTTAAGTAGGGGGAAACCGGGGCTCTCTGGAACCTATGCAGGGCCCTCCACAGGGCCCATCTGGGTTGGGATCCCCCTCAGCCACACTGGCAGCACTTCTCATGCCATATGGTCTGCACTGCAGGAGCTTCCTCCAGAGCCATGCCTGCACAGCTGTGAGTTTTTTCACAGCAGTGCCCTGGCCATACCCATTAAAATGACCTATGGCACAGCAGGGGTCTGACAACAAGACCTGCGCCAGATGCAGTGCTTACGTGATCATGTTGGCCCTGGTTACGTCCCTCTGCTTGCATCCACCTATCCCTGTTTGAGCCAGCTCCAAGGATGCCAGATGACAAGCCTAAACCTAACCTAGCTGGCTCCATCCCATCATTTACTGGATCTCTTCATTCCTCTTTAGTTCTCTACACCCTTTTCTCCACTTCTGCAGTTTCTCCATGTCCCTCTCTGCTTGGCCTCTGCTGAACCACTCTAAAATCCCTAGCATCAGCTGCACTGTCCTGAAAGCAGGTCAGAGGCGGATAAGCTGGGATAAAGGATTGGGACAGAGCCTCAGTTGGAAACCCATTGACACAGTGAGAAGAAGAGCAGCCAGGCTGGAGGCTGGGCTGCCTCTCTCAAGCAGGGGCTGAGCAGGGTACTCTGGCATGGCGCTGCTGCAGTGCCTCCCACGGGCACCGCTTCATGCAGCACAATCCGCCAGGGCACTGCCTGACCCTGCTGCAGCAATCCCCCCTCCCTTCCTAGCAGGACAGCACTGCAGAGACCTTTCCCCAGGGCACAGCCACCAGTCCTGCATGCTGGGGCCTCGGTGCAGCTGCCACCCCCCCGGCTAGGCACTGCTCCTAAGGAAGCCCGCACTGCTGCAGTGTCGTGGCTGATGCAGCTCTCGCTTGCTTGACTGTCACCTCCTCTCCCTGCTGCCCCCCCTCACCCTGTGCGGTGTGGGGCGGTGATAAGAAAACATCCCTCCTCCTCCCTCCTTCTCCCTGGGACTGGGCTTCGCTCTCGTGTTTGCGTCGACACATCAGTAGTTTGGGAGAGGTCTGCTCCGAGGTTGGGTCCTTTCCCCAGTAAAATCCAGTGAGCTTTACCTCACACCACCGCCAGCCCCCTCCCCCAGGTAAAGCTCCATCTCAGCGTCTCCCCGCAGTGCCCTTGGCAGCAGCACCTATGCTTGTCGGTTGCCCCCCCTTTTGAAATTCCCCAGACTCATATCTGAAATCATCCTTGCCGGGGATTGGGAAAGAGGGAGTACCTGAAATTAAAATATGAAAGAAAAGTGAGAAGGGTGGGGGTGAGGAGAAAGGGGTGGGAGGAGCAGGTGGAGGAAGTGAGGGGAGTTTAATTGCTAACGCCGCTCACAACGGTCCTTTTCTGCAGGGACACAAGTGCGTGTAGGGTTTGGAGGGCACGGAGCGGGGAGCAGAGGCACGCATGCAGTGAGGGGGAGGGCTGGCCACGGGGAGACACTTACCTTCCTAGAGCAGGGGTGAACGAGAGACTGAGAAAGTGCTGGTAGAGAGGAGAGAGGAAGGAGCTGAGTAGGGATGCAGGACCTCAAGGGGAGATGATGTGTCCTCTAAGCCAACGGCAGCGGCGGCGGCAGCAGGATGGAGACGCCCCTGATAGGGCCGGGACAGCAGCATGTGACCCAAAGCTGCGATGAGTCAGGATTTAGCAAAGCTTTGCAAACAGCACGTAGGGGATGGAGAGAAAGAGAGAGAGAGAGAGACAGACAGGGGACAGACACAGACAGAAGAGGGCGAGAGAGCTAGGGAATAGGAGTGGGTGGGCAGGATAAACAATTACAGACATTCCAGGTTCGTTAAGTATTTTTATCCAAATAAGAAAATTATAATTCAAACCACGCAACTTGTAACCCCCCTTTTCCCTCCTGGGACTACTTTGAGTATGTACGTGCAGAGACTGTAAAAACACTGCAGTAACTGAAGGCAGCATCCAGGACACTCCTCTCTTCTTCAGGCAAAATGAGGTGAACCTCATACCTATAGCTCTTGCTTTGCACATGGGAAGATGCATCCCCAAATCTTCACAAGGAACAGGGATTTAAACCAGAGGTCACTCGATACATCACCTTGGGGAGATACCTCCATTTCCTGAAGAAGGAAAGAGGGAGAAGTTAAATGACTCCATGCCTGACTTCTTTTTCACCTCTCACTTGTGTTGCTGGGGCCAGGGATGGCAATCACACTGTAAAGCCTGTTTTCAGCTGCATGCAGCTCTGCCCTTGGGACCTGACCTCCCTCAGCCATTTTTTCATTCGATTCACAGGAGGAGGGGCTTACCAGCACATCTGACCTTATGTTTTTCAATTTACTGTTCATACCTTTTCCTCTTCCTGCCTTTTCTAAAGGATTTCATTTGCCTCTGCATGCTAATTTTTCTCAACTGGTTCCTTGTCGAGGCGCTTCAGGTGTGGCAGCTGGGCCAGGACCTCCTGCTGGTAGTTTGTTTCATCAGAGCATGGATTCTCCATCAGCACCAGGGCCTGCAGCACGGGGAGCACCTGCAGTTTTGCCACTTCCTGCAAGCTACTGATCCCATTGTTCCTAAAGAAAAATCAGCACAATGTGCAGGAGAAAGAGATCCATATAAGTCCTAACAATAAGGATTTCTTTCTGTTCAAACAGTGTGTTGAACAGTCTGATAATGCCACCCCCTGTAGAGCAAGTGCTTGGAAGAAAAGGACACTGGTGGTCATGGCCAGGACACAGAGAACAGGCGGAGAGGGGTGGAAAAAGAGTTACAGCAAGATATAAAAAGTATGGTGTGGAGTCTGAGAGCAACTGGAGAGGCAGATCTTTTCCGAGAAGCTTGGAAAAGTCTGGGTTGGGAAACTGGTAGAAAACTGAGCCCTGAACACCAATTAAAAGCTGTAAAGATCAATCCAACCCGTTCCCATCAGGCTTCAGCTTCTAGAGAAAACAGAAAATCCTAAAGATGTAAATGGGAGTATAGCCTGATGAATTGGCGTCTAGTCCTGACAAGAAGCAGGGAGGACCTACCGTAGATTGAGGTACTGCAGGCACTTCATGCTGCTAGAGAATCCATCCAGAGTCTGAAGCTCATTGTCACGCAGGTGCAGAGTTGACAACTGCTCTAGTGCCTCAAGGCCTTCGAGGCTCCTAATGGTATTCTGGGCCTAAGCAGGGACATAGGAAGTGAGAATGAAAAAAAGGCACACATGGCAAAGGGAACAGCAGTTATTTCTGTTCTGTCAAGCTCTTTCTACTCTTCAGACTTCCTACCTCTGCTAAGCAATCTTCTCTGAAGCAGGACATCATACACACATAACAATGTAGGGAGGCTACCTGGCAGTGACAGATAGTATGGTCAGAAGCCAAACCAGAAATTGCACTGGGATTTTAGAGATAGGGGACAGAACACCTTGAGAACATGTCTGCAGCTCTAGCTTGTACCTCTGATCAGGACTCTGCTTAGACTCATAGAGTTAGATGGGAAAGGACTTTTGGAAGTCTCCATGCAGCATCCTGCTTGCAGCCAGGCTAACTAACATGTTAGCCTGGTTGCAAGCAGGATGCTCAGGGCCTTACTAAAAGAGTTCTGAGTATTCAGATTCAAGAACCAAATGCCTGCTAAAAAGAGTTCCCTGCAGCATCTCTTAGTGGCTGGGACATGACCGCCCCAGATGAGTAATTCCAACACAGCCTCTAGTTACGCAGGGATGCAGACATGCCACGATTCAAATTTACCAGAGCATGCCATCTGAGCCACCTGCTGTACTTCCAGCAAAACAGCCATTCCACAGCAGTGCCCCATCTGAGCCCCTAAGGCCTCAAAGAGTGTCAATGTGGAACAGAAAGCAAAGAGCTAAGTCAAGTTTATTTAAAGGATAATTATCTGCTCCTCTCAGTCATAAAGTCCAGCAAACTTCCAGTTTAGCTGCTTCTTTTATAGGAGAAATCTACTACCAAGAAGTCTTCTCTTCTGCTCCTCTATGACCAGAAGCAGGGTGCATGATCCTGACAGAGGCTGCAGAGAAGTGGGGGTTGTCAGTTGGTTTAAGAGCTTCTTGGTACAATATTTATTAGCTATCCATAAGTCTTGCAAATAAATAAACAAATAAATAACATTGACAAGCTTAGGGCAGGAAGAATATCTTACCAGTTCAAAATTCCCTATCTATTTCTTTCACCTTGGCGTGAACAGTTGTGAGATGGGGAAACACAAAGTTCTTACATTCACTAATAGTTTCGCAGCACAATTTTGACTAGAAAATTCCACTCAAAGCCTCCTGTCCATCCCTGGATTAACAGCAGCGCTAGCACCAAAGCTGGATCTGATTGCTGATGGCCTTGTGCAGCCAAGTTTGCAAAATCCCTGGCAACTACGTTATCCCTACCGCATCTTTCAACCCAGAGATAAGCAGGACTTCACTCGTGATTGTGGCTTAGGGTTATAGTTTCTAAGGGTGCAGATACATGAACAGGGAGAGAGGCTCCCATCCCGGTTTCAACTGACATAGAGCTAATGTTCTCCATAGTAGCTGTCACAGTGCCATGTTTTGATTTGAGGATGAGAATAATGTTGATAACACTCCAATGTTTTAACTGTTGCTGAGCAGCTCTGCGCAGACACATCTCAGCTTCTCACAGCATCCTACCAGTGAGGAGCCTGAGGGGCACAAGGAGCTGTGAGGGCATAACCAGGACAGTCCCAAACTGGCTAAAGGGATATCCAACACCATCTGGCATCACACTGAACTGTCACATGGGAGGAGTTGGCCAAGGTGTGCTCCTGCTGCTCAGGGACTGGCTGGGCATTCAGGGAGTGATGAGAAATTGCATTATGCAACACTTTCTTTGTGGGTTTTTGGTTTTTTTTTGTTCATTCCCTATTCTGTCCTATAAAACTATTTTTTATCTAAAACCACAAGTTTTACTTTTTCCCCCCAATTCTCTCCCCCATCCTACCAGGGGGAACACTGTGTGGTGCTTAGCTGCCTGCTAGGCTAACCCACAACGGTGCCACTGCACTCTCTGTTCCTTTTTTGTTACTCAAGCAGTGATGTAGTCAATGCCAAAATTGATGTAGTCAAATGCAGTGATGTAGTCAAATCTAATAAAAGGAGAAGAGTCTCAACTGGTGGGACAGGAGAGCAGTTTAGGGCAGGCTCACTTATGAAAAGAATATTTAGTAGAAAATGAAGACTGCATTGGAAACTGGGCAAAGGAGACTCGGAAGCAAAAGGGCCAAGAAGGTAACACTGAGAAAAAGAGGAAAGTCTGAGACTTAGTAAACAAATTTAAAAAGCCAGGATAGATTTGTATACCTCACTTCAGAGGAAATCAGGAGCTGATGTTGGAATGAAAGTGGGGAGCTCACAGACCACTAGTCTGTGAAATGAGTAGCAACCTACCATCACTCCCACTTGCTCCGTTACACCAGTGAACAGTTTTAAAGGCTCCAGCCATGCAAGCGCTAACAGGACGATGCAGATCAGATTTTTGAACAGATTATTATTCTTCCTTTTTTTCTGAACTCAAGGAGCACTCAAAATGGCACCTTTATTTTAATGATCACATCATCACCTCGCCTTCTATAACGATTCCTCACGTACACACAAAGCCATCATTTCTTAGTGCAAGCTATACAACATGTTGCCCATGCTGTAGCTAGCCTTTGTCAGCAGTACTGCGCAATGAACAGGAAGTAACACACTCCTACACTTCGGACAGCAGTGAACCTAAAATGGGTGCTGACTGAAGCACCACATGGTTCACAATCAGCCTCTAGTTTTCCTGCTGGTGGGCAGAACTTTGTGAATACTGAAACTATGTCATATATTAACCAAATCTGATTCAGTTACTTTAAGCTGACCTTTGAATTCCTATTTGATGTGTGCACTGAACCCTGTCCTTTCAACATCAGCTTTACCTACCTATGGCTCAAGTAACACTGACACGTTTCTACAGAAAGCAAAGTAGTACTGGGAGAGATCCCCCTCCAAAATGATTTGATAAGCAGGTAAACATAGGGAACAAATCAAGCTCACATTTCTGAGACATTAATTGGTAGTTCTAGTTTTAATAATTTTGTCCTGCAGTTTGCCTGCTTCAGATGCACGGCTCAGGAATTCTTCAATTATGTTTCTTACTTTAAATAAAGGTGTTGCTTTGGTTTAACTCAGTCACCTGCTAACATGGCTTGTCTTACTTAGCAATTCTATATTGTACCTAGAGACTTACCCACTTCATCCCTTCTTCCAGCACCAGTAGTCCTAAGACTTCAGCTCTATACCAGAAAATAGCAGACAACCTCAGACAACAATCTCCTCAGTGCTTTCTGCCAGGGAGTACTGATGAAAAGAAACCCTGTAGCTTTTATCATCTTTAATTGCTTTTCCAGAGGTAACGACTCAGGATCACTATCAAGTCTTTGCGAGCAATAGTACTGTGTGATTCATGGGAGTAAGCCAACATACTTTCTTCATTTGTGTCTCAAGCAGTAAATGGTCCCTAAGCAACTGCTCACAGTAGAAGAAAATTGCTTCTTCTTAGTTTCAACTGAGATATTCAATCAGGTTTTTTTGGCAGCCCAAGATGTGAATCATATCTCTGTGCTGCTATACCCA